TGGGGATAGATGTGATAAAGTTAGAGGTTAAAACGCCACGATATAAGACAAGGGTGTATAAACTGGGAGGTGAAGCTGAAGAGACTCAGAGACAAAGTGATGGTAAAGTCCAATAAGATCAAGTGATAAACAATGAGAGCGAGGGAGTCAAATCCACACTGACATAGCTGCAAAATGTAACTCAATAAGAAGTGGTACGACTGCTAGGATAAAACAGAATTCATAAGAAATACATTCTATTTTAATTACATGAAGAACTCAAAAGAACAGAATGGAATTCATTTTCCAGACACAGATGTGTAGGCATTATAGTTATTTATGTATATATATATATATAAACATATTTAGAATTATATATAAATATAAACATAATTAGAATAATATATATATATAACTGGTGACTGTTGTCATTCTGTGTCTTACTTTCCTGGTTATACAGCAGGACTATATACACTCCTTATCATATGAACTCAGAATCCAGCAGTGGCAGGTCAATAGATTGATCATTTTTATTATATTTATGAAGAAGGGCCTATGACTATATATGGGAAGTTATTTTCTCTATACTGTGTTGGTAAGATTGCCTATGGTATAAAAAAAACCATGCCAAACTTTTAGGCTCTTATAAATCAAGTCTGGTTTTGGGAAGGTGTTAGCATGACATGGAACAGACCAATAACACGGCTCTGCTGTTGGTCACATTTCACCTGGTAGGACTAGTAAGGAGGAGCAGCTTTTCCTCCTTGTTTCCTTTTCCATCTCTCTCTCTCTCTCTCTCTCTCTCACACACACACACACACACACTTCCCCTCCCTTTCTTTCGTTTCTAAACTTCCTGTCGTAACTCACTGCCAAGCCGTTAAACCTGCCAGCTCTATTTTCAAGCCACCCTCCCAAGGCAGCCATTAATTCTGCAACAGCATCGTAATGGGCTAACAAGTCAATCACATGAGCCTCCATTGCTTTACATTGTGTCACCCTAATGACATGTTCGTCAGAATGTGTCACTGGTGGAGTGCTGCTGGACTCCTACAGACAGGCAGCCGGCTGGCAGTCTGTCTGTGTGGAAGTGAACGTGTGCCCACTAATAAAAAAAGCAGTCTGCCTCTCGTGGCCCGTGATTGGCTGTGCCAGCTTAACACGGCTGCATATTGGTGTGTGTGCGTGCGTGCCTGTGTTTGTGTGTGTCCCACCTAATAAATGAGAGGTATGGATGCACATTAATAATGGGTTGATGGTGGACAAGGTGATGCATGGCCAGAGCTGTTTTTCTTTTTTTTCCGTCTGACTTGCTCTTTTAGGAGGTCATCACCACCAGGGGTTAAGCCTCCGCTCCTCTTGTCGTCATTACGGCGGCAGGAGCCCAGGGTTAATGAAGGAAAAGCCCTGGTGAAAACAAGTCGACTTTTAATTAGAACCCTGATGGCTTGCCTGGTGTACCGGACTGAAGCTGACCTTTAACTCCTGAACCTACGCTGCCTGCTATACACAGTAGTGGCAGCAAGAGGCAGCGTCCATGAATGTGTTGTCTCAGGGAAGGACAGTCTGCAGCTCGACGTGCTGTGTGGATACGGTGCTGAGGGAGGAGGAAACATGTCATTTTAGGTTGAAGAATTTATAGGCAGGTTGTTTGGCAGCAGGTAGGAGGGAAGATAAACTGATAGGTGTGAGGTGAGACGTGTAGGTAGGTCAAATCTGTAGAATTATGTAATGTGAGTAAACAGGTCACCGATTGTGATACGTGCTGTACAGTGATGTAGCTACACAGGTGGGTCGCCGTGTTCTCCACGCCTCATGGTTATTCTGGTTGAACTGTACGAACACAGAACGCGTTCTTGGACAATACTGTTGCTAATGCATTATAAAAGACAGTACGTTATTCACCGCTGACTTACGGTCTTTTCTCTGTGAAAAGAAATGAATTCAGACATGCGAGTGTTTGTTAAAGAGGGGCAATGGACTATTTCTGCAGCTCAGGTGACCCCCATCCTCCCCCATCCTCCCCCGCCTCTCAGATTGTGGCAAGCAAAAAAAAAACAAAAAAACAGTGTCTCTACATGAAAGACTACATTTAAAATAGCTTTTGTCATTAATGCTTCATTAATTGCCTGCAGCAACATTACCCAGTGCAGGGGTGTTTCAGAAATGTATGACACTTTGAGGTCAGTGCACACTCCTGCTGTGTGCTGTGCTGTGAAGCAACATGAAGGAGAATCTGTACAGTTCAGCTATTTTTCAACAGAGTGCTTTGTGGATTTGCAGGACATTTTTTTTCCACGTTCAGAAGCAGCCTTCGCTAAAACCGAACTCAAACGGACAGACGCAGAACGAAGAACATTATCATCATCCTGTATTTGATCAAGGGTGGGGATTTGTGATTATTTAAAATGCAGAGATCTTTGTGACTCACTGTATCTAATTGATAGAATATGAGTTTTAAATTCTGGATGATAATATGTAACAGTACATGACGGGAAATTCATTTAGGATTTTTAGCTTTGTTAATTAAGAGTTATTCTTAGCTAACTCATTGATTTTTGGTGAACATCAACACTTTCTGGCCAAGTGTTAGTTATGGTTATAATAAAATCATCAAGTAAAGCAGTATTTTCCTACTTTCATTCAAACACTGTACTATGTTCGACTGCACTCTATACACTGGCCTTTATAAAACCCTGTTCATTATTACTTACTGTACAGTCTCTGCCTCCGTCCCTGTGCTGCTGCAACAACAGCTTCTCCAGCGCAGGATCAATAAAGTTCAATCTGATCTGATCTATTCTAATCCATAGGTCATTTAAACAAAATCAACTGAATCTGAACAAATGAAATGATCCGGTTTTCCAGTTAACTGCAGTTTTGAAGCTAATAAAAGCTAACTGTCAATTCAAAGATTCACCTCAGTCTAACTACAGCATTACAAGACCATCCGAAGACCATGTTTAAACGAGGGACATTTTTTTGTCCTGTGGGTTCAAGGTCTCAGCGATCTAAAACATTCTGATCTGACCAACGTGCATTCTTTCTCTCCAGATATTTCCTGAACACCATGGTTTTGGGGTCTCGTTTGGGCTCTTTTCTCAAAAACTGAAGCCTTTTCCTGATTAGCAAACGCAAAATCGATGTCTGTTTAGCATTTCTGAATTTGGAAATTATTTCCAGCATGATTAGAAAATATGTCAGTGGAAAGGATTGTTCTGATGAAAATGGGAGAGACTTCAAAATAAACTCTACTAATCTTTCTTGGTCTGATGTTGTCAGTCGTCCACAACTGGTCGGCCGTTGCTTCATACATAGACGTTTGTGTGAGACCTCAAAATCAACAGGATGACAACGACACATTCCACATGAACAGTGTAAATAATCAGCCTTACTTCATTGTTATTCTGTTCTGCAGAGGACAAACGGATCTCTGTGGAAATCAGTCAGTCACTTGTATCTAAGCCTGAGGGAGAATTAATTAGCGAGTTTCCTGAGTACAGTAAACCATAATGATAATTGGCTCAACTTGGGTTTTCGCAGCCCGTGATGGTGTCCACAGCCGGCTGCAGTGGACAGATCTTTCAGCAGAGGAAAGGAAGAATTGTACGAAACAAACCCACAGAGGCCAATCTGACTGCTGTCAAGGGAGGTCCCTCGCTTCATCATTCCCCTTCTACTAATGACAGAGGGGGAGGAAACCACTTCCACTGATCCTCAGGAAGGACGTTCACAAATACATTTCCAGAAAAGTTGGTGCACTTTCAAAAAGGCAATAGAATTGGATAGCTTTCATTAAAAGAATGGAAAAAAACTGCAAGAAAAAAATTAAAAAAAAAAAATAAGGAAAAAAGCTGCAAGAAAAAAATAAAAAAAAATTTAAAATAAGGTTTGATTTGCTAAAAATAATTTATATAAAAAGGTTTCTGCAACACTGTTTTGGTTGAAATGTCAGCGTCTCTTTAAATAGATGGTAACTGGTGACAGGTTTTATAAACAAACATATTATACTGTATAAACAGAGCGTCTATGACTCAGTCTTTGCATCAAAAATAAAGGAGAGGTCAGTTTTTTAAATTCAAAATTGAACAGTTCACTGTTATTTAGCACATTGTTTTCAGGCCAGTTCATATCAGAGTGTTAAGATTCTAAAACAGGCAAATCTCTTTGGTTCCCAAGAGGTGAAAGCTGTGACCTAATACTGTATTTGTTTTAAATGTTTCTATGTGCCGAGGAAGAAAAGAAAAAACCCCCATTCTGACCATCTGCATCTGCTGAGATATAGAAATGGGTCAGTAACCATGACATCATAAAACTGCATAAATATCAAGTTACCATTCACTATAGGGATTACTAATTAATTGTAGGCCACCATCATGAGACATTTGATCCAGAAGTTCAACAGATGACGGATGATACCAGTTGTTATTCTTCCATGTGACGTTTACATTTGTCTCTTGTTGTTTGCTGATTTCTGACGACAAAAAAAGTAAATATTTGCTGATTTCTGACGACAAAAAAAGTCTTTTCAGCAGCAGAATTAGGAAGAAGAATATCTGCAGAAACTAAAGGCAAACTTGCCTCAGTTCCAACCCTTATCAGACTGTGTTCCCACTCTTCTGCACTGTTCTCCTTCCAGAGTAAATGAGGACAGTGCTCAGTAACCTTGATGGACATGTCTCCTGCACTCACCAGGCTGCTTGAAACACATAAACCTGTCAGAGCGTCCTCTGTAAATCATTACCCAGCCACTCTTTATTTAGTCCACATATGCCAGCTTACTGGCCTGTGAAATGTGTTTTTCGAAGCACCATTGGACTAAACTCAAATTGAGACACTGACTTAGTTGATT